ATTTTATTTTTAAGACCATAAGATGTCTCTCAATTTGAATGCATAATTTTATTGCCTAGGAGACCAAGGGATTCTCTTAGAATAATCAGACTTTTTTTCTTTTTTAATCTTCATTTGAGGACATGCTTAGAGAGAGGAAGGGGGAGACAGAGAGACAGAGACAGACATTGATGTGAGAGAGAAACATTGACCGGTTGCCTTCTGTACACTCCCTGAGTGGGGATCAAACCTGCTACCCAGGTATGTGCCCTGACGGGAATCAAACTGGCAATCTTTCAGTGCATGGGACAACACTCAACCAATTGAACCACTCTGGCTGGGCAATAATCATGCTTTTGAGAATGCTAAGGTATTTAGAACCCAGATATTTACACTCTATTTTAGTCCATAATTTTAAGGGATAGGAAAATAGAGTTATTGATTAAAAGCTGTTTGGTGCTCAGGACTAGAAGCTACAGTTTGGTTAATAATGACTTTCATAAAAGACTGAAAACTATGCCTGGTGTCTTCCATTAGCTGTCCACTTCAGCTCTCCCTGCAGAAATCTGACCTTACCCCTTTCACTGGAAAGTCGCACATCATGCTCTAATTGCCTCCTTGGATTAAAAATTTAGTGTTACCTTTGTTTATTTGTTTCCCTTTATGTCTGTATATTGCTGTATATGTCAATGCTAGACATAACAAATTGGCAATCCCCAAATGGTAGAGCAAATAAAAGTGTATTGTATATATTTTAAGTTGTTTTGAAATAACCTTACGTTTAGAGTAGTGACAGAAAATTTAAAAGAAACCAACTTGGAGAATAGTGTGTAAAAGTATTGCACGGGGAGTCTGAATGTTCTGTTTGTACATGATACATTAGTGCCTGTTTCCTGTCCACATTTCCTCATGCACTATTCTGCTTTCCTTTTCTGTTAGCTTCCCTCTTCTTCAACGTGGGGTCAGCAGTCCAATACAACAGCATGTCAGTCCCAGGCAACGTTGTCATTGGCTGAAATCCAAAAACTGGAAGAGGAACGAGAACGGCAACTTCGGGAAGAGGTAAATTTCAAAAGTAAATGTGGTCCAGTCCAACAGTGTTACAGATTAGCTAGTGTGATTCTGGATTAGTGAAGATAATTATTATTGTCAGATTGCTGTGTGTCTGAATTGCATGTAATTTTTAAACTCCTTAGCTTACAATTTGGTCATTCTAGCAAATAAGGATCTAATAAGAATAACTAAGATTGGATAACAAATATCCAGTTATCTTAATTATTTTATAAGTACCGCGCGCTAACCGATTGCGCCACTGGAGCTCCAATCTTAATTATTTTAATGTAGTTCTTAAGAGAATAACTCATGGTGTTTCAGAATTGTGAGTTCTATGCAGATATCCAGTTGTAAATTTGAATTTTAGAATGCAGAATACATTCTTCTGTAGGGTGTTGGGTTTTTTACTTTCCTAGAAAACCATAAAATATGCCAATATGAGAAATTAAGTCTCTGCTTGTAAGTCTGTATCCCGTAGTAGTTGTAAGTTGATATCTTTAGGATAGTAAGGATATAAAAGAATGAAAGAAGAAATGGAGGGGAGGGATACAGTTCTTTATATGAGAAAATGAGTAAGTAAAATGGTTTGGTTCAATATGCCATATATTCATCCATCCCTCCCATATTTGCTGAGTACCTACTCAGTTATAGTTAGAGTCTAAGATTATAGCTGAATCCAAAACAGGCAAAATTCTTTGCTTTTATTTTATTTTATATTTTTATTGATTTCAGAGAGGGAGGGAGAGGGAGAGAGAGAGAGAAACATCAATGATGAGAGAGAATCATTGATCGGCTGCCTCCGCATGCCCTCTACTGGGGATCGAGCCACAACTCAGGCATGTGCCCTTGACTGGAATCGAAGCTGATGCTCTATCCACTGAGCCAAACTGGGTAGGGCCAAAATTCTCCGCTTTTTATAAAGCTTACCCTCTAATTGAGAGGAGATGACAATAAAAGTTGTTAATGGTAGTGATTGGTTGTCTAATTTTAGCTAGTGCAATCTGGAAAGGCCTCTGAAAAGGTAGCATAAAGTACAGAGTCTTAAAAAAAGTGTGTATGTGGATATGATTGAAGGCAGAGTAGTCAGTTTGTTACAATGCAAGCTGTCATTTTAGAGCTGAGTAGTATCATTTACTGAAGGCCACGGGTGCACAAAGAGAAGTGGGAGTTGTCTCTACATATTCACCATGTAGTGTGCTTGACCTCATCAAATGGGTTAAAGTATTTCATCTTTAAAATTACCTTATTTCCCACCCTCTTCAGATAGAGAAAGACTGAACTTACCCTGAAATCATTTCTTTTTTTAAAAAGCTTATCAACAGCCCTAGCCGGTTTGGCTCAGTGGAGAGAGTGTCAGCCTGTGGATTGAAGGGTGCCAGGTTCGATTCCGGCCAAGGGCACATGCCTGGGTTGCAGGCTCGATCCCCAGTGTGGGGTGTGCAGGAGGCAGCCAGTCAATGATTCTCCCTCATCAATGTTTCTGTCTATCTCTTCCTCTCCCTTCCTCCCTGAAATCAATAAAAAATAAATAAAATTTTAAAAAGCTTATCAACAAATGGATACATAGCAGAGTATATCATCAACTTTTAAGGCTAGAAATTGTTCCATAATTTTGGTCTCTGCTGAATGAAAAATAATAGTAGTTATCAGAGAATCACAGGTCTTGGTCATCTTTTTATCACAAGTTAGGCATTGCTTCATTTATATTTTCTTTGAACCATAAATCTTTGTTTACTTTTTAAAAGATATGAAATGCTCCTCAATAGATATTTCTCATGTAGGGAGGCCTAAGATAATTTTATTTTATTCTTTCCTGGGAGGTAGCCTTTTCAGGACCCTCCAGTCTATTCAAATCTGGATGCTCAGGGCTTGATGTGCAGCTATTCTGTTTTTCTTTTCTTTTGTTTCTTTTTTAAAATTGATTTTAGAGAAGAAGGGAGAAGGAGAGAGAGCTGCCCAGTTGTATTGGGTGGGGTGGGGCAGGTAGTCTGGAGTCTCACTACTGCTTTTTATAGACCTTCAGCCAGTCTTCCTCTGTTTGAGATCTCCATGCCTCTATCCCAAGCTTTCTGTATGAATTAACTCATTTCTGAGCTTCCTTTACTTAATTTTCAACTTATTGGGTCTTTTACATTGGCTATCATTGTTTATCTGCTTTCCAGCTTTTTAGTTGATTCTGTTTTCTTTGTCCTTATGGTTTGTACTTTAAAATTTTTTTTCTGTCATTTTGGTAGGGCTTTAGGAAATAAGCATGTGTTTCATTTCTATGCTTAACCAGAAGCCCTACTTAATTTTTAAGAAGTAATTCTGCATTTGATCTTCTTATTTCCTCTTAGTAGCTTTAGCAGTCAGATGTTTAATTTGGTATCGCTACTATATATTTGCACTCCAGTTAGTATACTGGGCATGTGTAACAATTATTTTTGAAACTGGAATCTTGAGCTGGCTTCCATTTCTGTGCAGCAACAGAGGCGCCAGCAGAGGGAGCTGATGAAGGCTCTGCAGCAACAGCAGCAGCAGCAACAGCAGCAGCAGCAGAAACTCTCAGGCTGGGGGAATGTCAGCAAACCCGCAGGCACCACCAAGTCGCTCCTGGAGATACAACAGGAGGAAGCCAGGCAAATGCAGAAGCAGCAGCAGCAGCAGCAACACCAGCAACCAAACAGAGCCCGGAATAGTACGGTGGGTTCATTTTCCCGAGCTGTCATTCTGAGGATGGGTGTTGTGAGTTTCTCTTTTCTGGCTTTTGTGTACTCTTTTTATCTTTTTTCATATTGTTAACTGTAATCATTTGTCTCTTTTTCTTTAACAGCATTCCAACCTGCACACCAGCATTGGGAATTCTGTTTGGGGCTCTATAAATACCGGTCCTTCCAACCAGTGGTCATCTGACCTAGTTAGTAGTATCTGGAGTAATGCTGACACTAAAAACTCCAACATGGGATTCTGGGATGATGCAGTGAAAGAGGTGGGACCTAGGAACTCAACAAATAAAAACAAAAATAACGCCAGTCTCAGGTAGGGCTCAAAATGATCAAACCTATACTCCTTGATGGGTTGGGGGAAGGGACGCTTGGGAATTGGGATATTGGGTGGGCAGAGAAAGGTAGTTATTTAGGTTCTGCTTATTTTCATCTGTGTCTAAGCACATGAGGTCATAGTTTGGTGACCTAGGGGCTCCTACTGCTGGGCACTTAGTCCATTGCCTGTCACATGGTAACCACTTAGTAAATATTAGGTATATTATATTTTTGTTGTTGAACATTTTTCCAAGATATTCTCTAGATCTTAATGTTTTTTTCTAAATATATATTTTTAAGTTACTTATACTAAAATAAGTATAATAAGCACTTCTGTAATGGCCTTAAACCTGTTTATTTTTATGATGTTAGTTATCTCTCACCTTCATCTTTCTTTCCTCAATATACAGTGTTGTTGAATGAGCATGGGTTTTAGTGTTAAGTGAAACATGAACTGAAATCCCAGCACTAGCACTTAGCTGTGTGACCTTGAGCCTCAGTTCCCTCATCTGTAAAATGAAGATAAGAATAACTTCATGGGTATAGTTGTTAAGATTAAATGAATACATGTGAAGTAGTTAGTAAGGTGCCTGGCACATAGCAGCTACTTAATAAATGGTAGTGTTGTCAGATTGTTTCTTCTCAATTGAGGGCCTAATAAATTACGAATAGGATGCTAAATATCTGCCAGCTCATAGAGGACTGTGCTTTTAGACCTTTGTGTGCAATATCTTTATTCCCTTTGATAACCCAAAGAAATATTAGTATCATTTTACAGATGAGAAACCTGAGGCTTAGCGAAATTTAAAGAATTAACAGAGCACACATAGGAAGAATTGAATCATTTCTCTGAAAAGAAGCCCTATATTCACAAACTAGAATGTATTTGCTGAGACTAGATTTTAAAGGGGTATTGAGTAAACCCTATCCTACCCCAAATCCAAATATTTGAATTTTTGGAGCCAAGCATTGGATTATTGGATAGCCATCCAGTGTTGCCAAAACATTATTTATGGTGTTGTAGTATAATCATATAGTAACAGTTTCTGGGAATATAATATTGCCCTATTGTTTTGCTTTAGTAAATCTGTAGGTGTGTCTAACCGGCAGAATAAGAAAGTAGAAGAAGAAGAAAAGTTGCTGAAGCTCTTTCAGGGAGTAAATAAAGCCCAAGATGGATTTACCCAATGGTGTGAACAGATGCTTCATGCCCTTAATACGGCAAATAACTTGGATGGTAAGAATTGGGGAGGGAAACCTAGCATGTGGGATGGCAGAGCAGGACCCACAAAGAGGTTGGCAAACTGGAATGATCTAATGGAGGTCAAGTCCTGCACCTGCCATAAAAACGTGGCTCTTTAATCGTATATAACTTGTGACAGAAGCCCTATAATACTGTGCTCAAATAGATTATCAGAGGTTGCCAAAAAGTAAATGCTATCTCTGGCTGTCTTATGGTGTATAAGACAGAAGTGGTCATAGTTCCTTACTGATCATTTTATGAAGGACAGTGCCAACTGGGCAAGTATGAAGGAAAGTAACTGTTGTGGTGAGGACAAAGGTCAACCTGGGCAAGAAGAGGTTGAGGTGATGTTTGAGCTCTTCCCTTCCTGCCTTGGGGGTGGGATGGGAATTGTGTGACAGAGTAAGTAGACTTAATTTTGTATAGCATAAAACTAGGGCCAGTATGTGGAAGTGAAAAGGTTTCAGGACAATTTGAAGAAAAACTTGCTAATTGTTAGCTGTTCACAAAGAGAATTTTCTGCCTTATGTAGAAGTGAGTCTCTCCCTCACCCACAAATGTTTGAACAGAGACTGGTCAGCTTGGTGTTGGGAATTCCCATAGTTACTAGACCACGTTAAACCAGTCCACCTCTGATGTGTCTTATCTAAAACCAAGGATCTTTAAAAACATAGCATTAAAGGGACTGAATGGGTCTTTTCAACATTGTAATAATATCTAATGTTCTAAAAGAGCCAGAAAAGAAAAGTAGTAAATAATAGTAATGGCTACCATCCATTAAGCACCTACGATGTGCTAGGCACTCTCTCGGGGTTAACGTATGTTATCTCAATTATTTAATTTTTGCAGCAATTTTATAAGCTCCCTTTACAATGTAGATGATGTTACCTACATTTTATAAATTAGGAAACAGAGGCTCAGAATGGTTAAGACGCTCATCAAGGTCACACAGCCAGCAAGTTTTAAACCCATGTCTGTGTAACTCTGACACTTGTGCTTTTCTCCTACACTACAATGCTTGGTTTCTCTCTAAACATATGACATCTCAGTGACGTGAAAGGAGGTGATGGCTGTATCTTTAGTATCTGTCGAGGTGTCTGGTACATATCATGGCACTTAATAAGTATTATTTGAATTTAAAAAAAATGAATACCCAGATGACTTCAGTCTTAGGCAAGCAGTTGTTTCAATTGACATAACGTTTAGTAAAACTAAGCATGTGTGATATGTCTTTATTTGACTCTAGTCTATTTCAGATAATTTGAGATACTGCAATGATATTGTTGTTTTTTAATTTCTAAAGTAGATTAAGGACTATTTAATACAATAGCTATGTACCTTTTAAGTTTCCGTCATCAGTGTCTGGGTTGAGTTGACAATATATTAAAAACTGAAGCTGATTTTTTGTTATGTGATATTTCATTATTACTCTTTACATCTTTTCCCCTTTCATGTTGCAGTTCCCACATTTGTTTCTTTCCTGAAAGAAGTAGAATCTCCTTATGAGGTCCATGATTATATTAGGGCCTATTTAGGAGACACCTCTGAGGCCAAGGAGTTTGCCAAGCAGTTCCTCGAGCGTCGTGCCAAACAGAAAGCCAGCCAGCGGCAGCAGCAGCAGCAGCAGCAGCCACAGCAGCAGCAGCAGCAGCAGCCACCACAGCAGGTAGGAGGTGGCAGGGAGTGCAGCCCCGTGCCTGAGCATTTATTCATACCTTGAAATTCTGAACAGCCAGAGAGATGAAAAGTAAAACAAGGATACCATTTTTGTATGTCAAATGATCAAAGCTGTGGTAGATTTGATATTTTTAAATTACATATCCAGAGATCTTGATGAATTTCTCAGATAGCAAATATAACCATTCATTCGCTGTTAGGCACACTACCAGAACCATTATTATTGGTTCATATACGTGCCTCAGTCAAATTGCAAATTTCAACTTGTCACAGTCCCATAAATTTGGTTTAGAACAGTTAAAATCTACAAATGTTAAATCTCCAGTGCTCAGGAACCACTTAACCCAGTACTGACAATTTCCTATGTTTTTGGTGGGGATGTTAAAGGTACAATCAGTTCTTGTTATTGATAGTAGTGTGTTCTGTGAAGTTGCTGCCAATACTGAATTAGTGAATACTGAATCATTGTTCCTAGGGGAAATAGAGGGTTAGCTTTTTGCGAACCTGTGGTCACAACATTTTTGTCAGCTGATCAGTATGTAACCTTATTTTATGTGAGTTTCTGTTTCAAGATGCTTTATTTAATATAAAGGGGTGGGCAAAAGTAGGTTTACAGTTGTGGATGTGAAAAGGTTATTCTTATATTCTTATTATTGTATTACTTATTTGTACAACTTTTTCCTACCCCTCTATTGTTGATTCCTTAATATTGAACTCACAGCCAGCACACTCTTAACTCATGCCTGAATGAAGCTTATCTAACACATATTTTCCATAAGGCAGGTAACAGCCTCCTTGTGCTTAGGAACACTAGACAGCACTTAACACTTGGGGGCTATTTTAAACAATGAAATCACCAACAAAAAAGGACAAAAATGTGGAAAACATGACACTAAATAGGCTGAAAAAGATGCTTGTTTACAGTATGAGAGCTGAGATAAGAAGGCAGAGTATTGCTCTGATCTACCTCAACTGCGAATGTGTGCCTCGAGCAACTCAGACTTTTCACTGCTCTGACATGTACATGTCCAGAATGACCACAAAAGCACTGCTGATATTGATTTAAGGGTTACAAATAAATTACAGTAAGGACAGTAGTCCCCCCCCCTTATCCACGGGGGATATGTTGTAAGACCCTCAATAGATGCCTGAAATTGTAGGTAGTACTGAACCCTATATATACTATGTTTTTTCCTGTACATACATACCTATGATGAAGTTTAATTTATAAAATAGGCAAATAAATGATTAACAACAGTAATAAAATAGAACAATTATAACAATATACTATAACTAAAGGCCCATTGCATGAAGATTTGTGCAATAGGCCTTCTTTCCCCTGGCTGCCAGCACCAGTTTTCCTCTGGCACCCGGGACCCAGACCTTCACTCTGGCCACCGCCTTCCATCTTCGCTCTGGACATAGTCTTCGCTGCGGCTGGAGCCTTCAGTCTTTGCTCCTCGTTCCAGCGGGAGTCTTCAGTCTCCGGCCAGAGCTGCTCCTGTAGCTCCTTCCGCCCCCCACCTTCCCCTCATAGCTTTATCGCTGCTTCACCTGCAGACCTCACCAACGGGCTCCTAGGTCCCGGGGTGCCGCCTTGCCTGCGCCCGGCTTTCCGATCACGATCACCATCACGGGCCGCAGGCAGGGTGGCTCCTGGGTCCTGGGGTGCCGCCTCGCCTGCAGCCCAGCTTTCCGATCACTATCACGGGCTGTAGGCAAGGCAGCTCCTGGGTCCCGGGGTGCCACCTTGCCTGCGGCCCAGTTTACAATCACGATCACGGCCCCAGGGTCCCGCCGCCCAGGGCCACACACGGGGGTCCCAGCTGGGGGCCGGGCTTAGGCGGCACACGGGGGCCCGGATGGCGGCTCGAACTGGCCTGCCCTGCCTGCAGTATGCAAATTAGCTGCCATCTTTGTTGGCGGCTAATTTGCATATCACGCTGATTAGCCAGTGGGAGGTGTAGCGAAGGTATGGTCAATTACCATGTTTGTCTATTATTAGATAGGATAAAAGTTATGTGAATGTGGTGTCTTTGGCTCTTTGATAACAGATCTGATACCAAGGTAGCTACTAAATGTCTAATGGGCAGGTAGCAAGTACACAGACAGCATGGAGATGCTGGACAAAGGGATGATTCATGTCCAGGGCAGCACTGAGTGGGGTGGTGCAAAATTTCATCATGCTACTCAGAACAGTGCACAATTTAAAACTCATGAATTGTTTATTTTTGGAATTTTCCATTTCATATTTTTGGACTGTGATTGCTGAAACCAAGGAAGACAAAACCATGGATAAGGGCGGACTATTGTAGTGAATTTATAAATGTGGAATCCATAAATAATGAGGATACAAGTTTTTTGAAAGACTAACTGGCATAATTAAGGGAGAGGCTTAAGAATATTCATATTCTTTACTCACATAATTCTTTTACTAGAGATAATGTTTGTTTTATAGGTCACTTCTGGGAACATGTAAGATATAGTGAAGTACAGGGCATTTGAAATCCATTTGAGTAGAGGGCTGATAGGGCTCAACTGAAGGAAAAGTGAAAAGATGTAAATAGGAACAGCACTAGGAAAAATATTTTGAGGAATCAGAAGAGAAGACATTCTATAGCAATGCAGACGGTCCTTTGCATTTGTAAAGTGGCTGACTCTGCTGAAATAGGAAGGCAAAGGTCCAGGGCATGTGCATCCAGGCTCATCCTTCCACAGGGCTTTCTCCACCCACCCTGCCTTCAGCTAGCTCACTAAATCTTTATCTCAGTGTTTTTTGTTTTGTTTGTTTGTTTTGTTAATTCTCACCTGAGGACATTTTTTCCATTGAGTTTTAGGGAGAGAGGAAGAAAGAGAGAGAGATTGGTTGACGTGAGAGAGAGACATTGATTGGCTGCCTCATGCACACTCCCCCATGGAGCCTGGATTGAACCTACAACCCAGGTGTGTGCCCTTAACCGGGAATCAAACTCGAGACCCTTCAGTGTGCAGGCCGATGCTCTAAGCACTAAGCCACACCAACCAGGGCTTGATCCCAGTTTTGAATAAATTGCTCTAATAAGTGCAACAAGCAAGTGTGAATTATCTGGTAGATCATTTCATAGTTGAACCAGTTGGTAGAAGTATGGATAATGTTTTAAGACTAGACCCCTTCTGGGATTGTCAATAGGAATAAAGTACAGGGCATTTACTTTATTTGATATGATGGTACCAGTTGGTTTGCAGCCTGTTCTCTCTGTCTAGGGGCCCAGAGAACAAAGGAACCTTCCGCTTTGGGTATGTTAGGGGTGTAAATTGCCAAAGTCAGAGGTCTGTTGGTGATTTCATTTGCTGTATATTGAATTTCCTAGTGGATTGTACAGACTCCGTGTAGACCTGAGAGGTTTTGAACGCTATGCTGTCATAGCAGGGTGACACCTGGAGTTACCACAATAGGCTTTGTGGAGGCATAGCGCTTAAATGGGATGTCCAAATCTAAATGAAGGAGAAGGGTGGCTCAGTGGATTACTCGGGTTCATAATTACCAGAATCTGAGGTAGACTTTTTGTTTGAAACTCGTAGTTGACAAGGTGAGGTAGGGCAAATCAACCATTCTCTGAGGGTGGGCCAAGCCTACATGCATTGTGTAACTTCACTTGTGCCATCTTGTTTCACAGGACTCCGTGTGGGGGATGAACCACAGTGCACTCCATTCAGTATTTCAGACCAATCAAAGCAACAACCAACAATCCAATTTTGAGGCCGTACAGAGTGGCAAGAAGAAGAAAAAACAGAAGATGGTCCGAGCAGATCCCAGTTTATTAGGTGAGCACAGGTCTTAAGTCTCGGCTGGGTATTGGGGGAATAGCAGGCTAAGCAGTTCTGTGGTAGGATGTTTTTCATGAAGGGAAATAATTCTTCTACCAAATTAATTTTTTTTAAAATATATTTTATTGAATTTTTACAGAGAGGAAGGGAAAGAGATAGAGAGTTAGAAACATCGATGAGAGAGAAACATCCATCAGCTGCCTCCTGCACACCTCCCACTGGGGATGTGCCCGCAACCCAGGTACATGCCCTTGACCGGAATCGAACCTGGGACCTTTCAGTCCGCAGGCCGACGCTCTATCCACTGAGCCAAACCGGTTTCGGCCAAATTAATTTTTTTAACCAGTTCAAAGTAAGTAGTAAATATTTACTGGGTGTCTCAACGCAAGAGCCGTGCCTCATGTGCCATAGGGACTAGATTCTATGGTGCTTTATACTTTAAAGCCTGTTTCATATTTAATATTAATTTTCCTAGAAGGCCCTTTCATTTATTTGGAAATAATGATAATGGAGAATAGTAAAAGTTATTTACAAACTTAAATGCTGATATGTGTGGAAACTGACCATAAATCCAATCAGGTGTTCAGAGAAAAGAGCCAGTGTTGGTTGATCATGTGTATCATGTGATTCTCAGAATGATTGCTTTATGAGGTGATGTTCCAGTTTTCCCAATGAGTAAACCCCAGCCTAGAGGATTCAGAACATATCCCAGTCACCCAGCTGTCAGCATGGGCTGGGATTGCAGAGCAGACCTGTTTTCTTTCCACTCTTCTGTGTTAGCAACAGCTGTTCTTGTCCTGCAGTGAAGACCAGTGTCTTCACACAAGGCAGCTTCATGGAAAAGGTGACACTTGAATTGGGACTTTGAAAGACTAGCAGGAAGGATGGGGAATGGTGTTTCTGGGGTAATAAAAAGCATAGGCAAAGCTGATGGGCTGCTAGTGTTCCTTAAATTGGCCTAACAGCCTACATACAACGATAAAATTATTATTCATTTATGAGTGTAAAATAGGCTATTATAAATCACGCTGTCTAGAATAGAATGGTTTGGGATGTTGGCTTGGTTAGGAGGCTGCAGTATAGACCAGGTGAGTAGGATTTTGGAATGGAAGATGGATTTGAGGAATTTTAAGGATCTCAAACTTTAAAGAAATTATGTGAGTGAGAGGCAGCCTATTGTTCTGAACCTAAGAGAATGTGGGCTTTAGAGCTAGGAATCCTAGGGGATAGAATTGGCTGGCCAAATTCTGGGAAGGTTTGGCAGCAGCAGGAAGGATAGTGTTGGCTTTTGCTAAAATGATAAGCAAGCACAGTGAAGTGGAGTGAGCTTTAGGGGAAATGATAGGGCGTTTAAGTGTTGGATGAGTTGAGTGGGAAATGGCTGTGAGACTCCAATGGAGAGACCCGCATGAGAGAGCTAATAGCACAGCAAGAGGGAAGTTACAACCCCACTCTGCCTTGGACAGAATCCACTTTCCTCCAGAGGTTTCCTGCCCTCGAGAAAGCAAATGTTAGGAACAAAAACTTTACTTTGAGCATTGCCATTTGGAGTTAATACCTGAACGCTGGCTTTGGGAGCATGGAGATCTGGTGAAATTCTGTTCTTTCTGCCTGTCTTGAAAGTTTATATTAAGGCTGGGTAGAATAGACCAAAATTTTATCTAGTTTTGACAGAAATAGATGAATATAAATTTAAAAGTGTTTCTAAAAGTCTGGTTGTGGGTTCTAGCTCAGAATCCCATGCTATTTAAAGGCTAGGCTGTCAGGAAAAAGATTCCTTTGAAAATGAGGCTTAAGTATTGGGTTAAGTATTTGATCTGACCCCATCTCCTATTACAGATGTAAGAAAAAAATGGGACTTAAAATCTCCCTTTAGGGGAATGAGAGGTCATTTTAAAATAGAGTTTAAGGAATCTGTATATGTTAAAGGGGAAGAAAAAAAATCCAAGTATTAAGGAAACTCACTTGGGTAGTCTCTTAGGCCATTTTATGAAAATTTCTTTTCAGCTGAACCTCCTTCTGGAAATTCTTTTGATAATTACTAATTTCTGCCCTTTACCTACTCACTTTCACATATTATTGTTTTAATTTATATATGCCTTATTGATTTACAGATTAAGAAAATTAATAAATACCTGCCAGTTACAGGTTTCCCACGCACAGAGTAGGAAACAGGCTTTAATTTGATCCAAAAGTATCCATTGAAAAAATAGATCAAAAGAGAGCCATGCTTCTAAAACAAACCCTCAGAAGGGTGCCCAGTCTCATTTTAATATCTTCCATTGTCTACAAGCTGCCATTGTGAGCCAGCATCCTGTGCTTAGATATTACAAATACAGTTGACCCTTGAATAACATGGGTTAGGGGCATAGACCTCCTGCACAATCACAAGTCTGAGTATAATTTTTTACTTCCCCAAAACTTAACTTCAGTCGTCCCTTGCATCTGTGGAGGATTGGTTCCAGGACTGGTGCGGATACCAAAATCTGAGGATTCTCAAGTTCCTTATATAAAATGCCGTAGAACAGTGTATATACAGTCTGCCCTCCGCATCCACTGATTCCCAATTTCCAGTCAAAAATACTGTTTTCCACCGAGGTTGTCTGAATTCATAAATGTGATATCCTGGGATACGAAGGGCCAACTGCATACTTAGTGGGGGGAAAAAAAATCCACCTATAAGTAAGTGAACCCGTGCAATTTAAACACACACAGTTACCCAGTTACCTCTCCTTATAAAAACAGGGTCTCAACTCAGCCAATGTGGCTCAGTGGTTGAATGTTCAACTTATGAACCAGAGGTCATGGTTCGATTTGTGGCCAGGGCATATGCCTGGGTTGTGGGTGCGAACCCCTGTGTGGGGGTGTGCAGGAGGCAGCCAGTGATTCTCTCTCATCATTGATGTTTCTATCTGTCTCTCCCTCTCCCTTCTTCTCTGGAATCAATAAAAATATATTTAAAAAAATAAAATAAAAACAGGCTCTCAAACCTTAAAGAAATTGTGTGAGTGAGAGGCAGCCTGTTCTAAACCTAAGGGAATGTGTCTTTAGAGCTAGGCATCCTGGGCTTAAATCCTCGTTTGCATTGCCGTGGGTGTCCTGGTGTCCCAGAGCTTTCCTTTTTATCAAATGGGGAAAATGCCCACCTTACTGGTTTTCTATGGCAAGTAAATGAGACCATAGACCATGTCTGAGAAAAGCCTTGTAATCAGCATATTATGGCAATAAATAAATAACTTTTTTTGCCGCAGGCTTATTCTCCCTTCCTGTCTTTTTATGGTTAAAAAGTAATTTAGTTTGTGTTATTAAATTTTCACTTTTATTGCCTGTAGTTAATTATTGTTTTTATCACATTTCATCTGTTCTTGAGATATATGTGACATCAAAGAAAAACCTGCTTCAGAATAGATTAATAGCTCATTTCTTAGACTTGTTTCGTGTTTAGGTGTTTATAGTTACCTAATTAAACCGTTATTTAAAAATACAAACACTAAGCCTTTCGTTATTTTTAAGGGAGAAAGTCTTGTGGGCTTTGGGAACACAGTTGATGGATAGAACTCAGGTTGGGGTTTGGAGTCCTTAACTCTCCCAGACTCAGCCCTGTAAGCAGCTTGTACCACAGCCTCCCTGGTTAATAAACAGACATGCTTATGTTTTCAATTCATGATATTTTTGAGTCAAGAATGTAATATAATTAAGCTGTTTTTATTATGTAGAGCATTTTTTGTTTATTATTGGTACATTTAAAAAATGTATTTATTTGAAAACTTGAACATTGGGAACAAAAAGGAGGAGGCAGAAAACTCAAATAATATTAACAGAACTGCTTTTAGACTGGAGAGCATGACTTGTTTACTTTTTGATACTCAAATAGCAGCTGAAACAGTTTGGGATTTCATTTAGGGTGGATAAACTGAAAGCTTTTTGGGAGTCACTCCTTCCAAAGAGGCCTTGTAAATAATTTTATTTATCAATCTCTGGTTATGGAGTTTATGCGAAAATTACATACATGTGGCTGGTGGCATTAGGTTTTCAAATGTCAGTAGTGTTTGTGAGTACTGCTTGCTGCCTTCAGTGCTAGTACTGTTATTCTATTTTTGTTGTTGTTGTTGTTAATCCTCACCCAAGAATATTTTTCCATTTTTTAGAGAGAGTAGAAGGGAAGGAGGGAGAAAAACATCAATGAGAGAGACACATCAATTGGTTGTCTCCCATACCCTGACCTGCAACCAGGTATATGCCCTTGATCAGAAATCGAACTTGAGATCCTTTAGTGAGTGGGCTGATGCTCTAACCATTGAGAAACACTGTCCAGGACAATTCTGCTATTCTAAAACAAATTCCATTTTGCTTATTCAGTATTGCTAACTGAAATCCTTTTCTTTGCAGGTCTATTTATAATAGGTTGAGTTGAATACAGTACTTGAATATTTTTGTACTGTCTATTATGTGATAGAAATGATTTCTGAGGGCCCTAGGGATTTTGTAGTGGATCTTTCCTGAAGCCTCCTACCTCCGAATAGCAAAAGCTCTTGGCCAGAATTTGATAGAGTTTTTGAATTAAGGGTGGTGGTGTTCCCAGTAGTGAGTGGGGCTGAAGTAGTATTACTCTCACTCAGAATGTGTCATTCCTGCTTTCCTGCCCCCATTTCTTATTTTTTGTTAATCTTTACCCGAGGATATTTTTTTCCATTGATTTTTAGAGAAAGTGGAAGGGAGGGGGAGAGATAGAGAGAAACATTGATATGAGAGAGACACATTGATTGATTGCCTCCTGCACATGCCCCAACTCGGGCCAGGGATTGAGCCTGCAACCAAGGTACGTGCCCTTGACCAGAATCGAACCTGGGACCCTTCAGTCCACAGGTCAACACTCTGTCTGTCCACTGAGCCAAACAGGCTAGAGCCCCAAATGCAGCTAAGGTCCCATTTCTTTTAAGGTACCTATCCTGAATGAATTTCCTCTCTCCCCCGGGGTCCAGCCTGGCCTGGCCTAAACACACACTTATACCCCAGGTTCCTCTCAGGATTCTCTAAGGCAGTGGTTCTCAACCTTCCTAATGCCGCGACCCTTTAATACAGTTCATGTTGTGGTGACCCCCAATTTCATTGTTACAAATTGAACATAATTAAAGCATAGTGATTAATCCCCAAAACAGTATGTAATTATATATGTGTTTTCCGATGGTCTTAGATGATCCCTATGAAAGGGTCGTTCGACCCCCAAAAGGGGTCGCGACCCACAGGTTGAGAACCGCTGCTCTAAGGCAATGGTTTGTAATTCTGTTTAAGCAGTAATGCTGGTGTTTTGTTTGTTTTTTCTCCCTAATTAAATTATGTTAGAACCCTAAGAAATAAAACAAAAAGAATCTCTCATTCAAAGGGCAGAAAACAAAACCACTGCTCTGACCTTTATCCTTCTTTCTTCTTCTTCCCTTGATTATTCCATCCTTATGGTGTGCTCAGAAACAAGAGACTTACATTCCAGCCTACTGCCCAGAATTGCAGCCCATTGCCTTTGAGACACATAGTTGTCTGGGTCTTGGTCACTCATTGTCAATTTTTTCCTGCAGGGTTTTCAGTCAATGCTTCATCAGAGCGACTCAATATGGGTGAAATCGAAACTTTGGATGACTACTGAGCACCTGCCAGTGGACTGGCCTTCCCTCTCCTCTCTGCTGACCATGGATTCTTCACCTTTGGACACAACACTTACCATTTACTCTTATCACTCTGCAACAAATCACAGAATCCATCATCTCAGGCTTTCTCTTCTAGCCTTTTGTGTCCAAGATCCTTTAAACCATTTCTGTTGGTGAGCATCTCAGACTGTAGATAAGTGGACCAGACCCTGTGTCTCGGGGGTGGCAGTTGGGATTACTCTCCAACAAGGCTGATTTTGGGCAGCACGTGTTTACTGTGCCGTGATTTCATCTACTGTCTCCCAGAAAGTGTGTTGGGATCTGCCAATAGCAATTTTACTTTCTCTTGTCATTTTTTTTCCTTTTGTTTTTCTTCTTCATTTTATTCCCCCAATAAGGGCAAGGGGTCTACTGGTGCAATCATGAAGAGAGTTAATGGTAACAGACATTGGCCAGCTACAAAACGCCCATGGACCATGACTGAGTGTCCGACAGAGACAGTCAGCGCTCTGCAGTCTGAAGGTCACATTGCTAACTTTGGGATTGCATCAAAGAGGCCCTGAGTCGGGTGGAGTTTAGATTGGATTAGTTTGATGTTACACACCCCTCGCCTGTTCTTTCTGAGCATCCTTTCGGAGGAAGGATTCATGTTTTCTTCATTAGATAGTGACTTCCACGCAAGCTGACTTCTCCCCTGGCATACTCCAACCTGATTGGACAAAGGAGACCCTGTGGCCTGGGAGAGGGACTTATTCTTAATTTTTCTTTCTTACAAAAACTGATTTTTCCCATAAATATTTTTACTTCAGAGGACTAGGACCAGTTTGTTTTTGGGCCTTTCTGCTGAAAATTTGTCTCGTTTAAGAGGCAGCTAGGATCTTTACCATATGTATGAATTTGTATAATTTCATTTTGAATAGGGATAAACTTTTGCATCAGATAAAAGCTCGGAAATTCATCTGGTTCCTCAGAGCATTGCGTGTGTGTCTTGCTGTGGCCCTGAAAAGGTTTTGTTTAAAGATTCTGGAATGGCAAGTCGGTTGCCTTTTCTGAAAAAAGAATATACAAAACCTGACCATCTGTAAGACCTTCATCCATGGAAACCACTATACAAGAGAATGCAGTGGGATGGAGGGACGGGAGAGGATGGGAGAGAAGCCTGGTGCTGGCTTCTGGTCATGGTCTCCCCATACCCTTTCCTTCAGATATAAATGTATTCAAGCCCTATTTATAAACCAATACTCTTCCTGCCTCCACCAGCCCCCCCCCCCCCCCAACACCATCTGGAATTGCCAATCACATTTGGTCGGGAGCCATTGGACCATCCCTCCCTGTGCAAGAAGTGCTGTTTGGGTGGCTCCTGGTAGAGCACCTTTTCTTCCTGTTGTTATTGCCTGAAGAGGCTGGAGTTGCTCTGAGAGCGGTTTGGTTTTGAATGATTATATTTGGTTTCTATTTTTATTATTTTGGATCACTATTCTCCCTACCCCTTCTTGCCTCCCTCCCTCCTAAACATGTACAATAACTATACAGAGACTGCTATAAACTTGTATATAGTTTTTGGATCAAATAGCATGAGGAGATGGGGAACCATTTAAAATTGAGACTCCTGCTCTCCTTTGCTTTGTAAATTCAAAAGTGGGGGGGGTGGGGGTGGGGAAGAAGAATAGTTAAAATGTTTACAAAACTTTAAGCTCCCTCGGAACTTTTGCCAGTGTGGAGGAAAATAAAAAAGAACTTAAATAAAAGCTGGTAGTATTCTCTCGCCTTGTCGAGGCTGCGCTTTGCACAAAGTCGTTCTCTTGGTGCCATGGAAAAGCTTCGGTGCTCATGTGAGCACCAAAGACGTGGAGGCATCCGGAGCTTTCTCTGCCAGGCTGTGAAACACTGGCTGGTTCTTGACTTGAAAATGTAGGGTCAGGATAAACATGGGTAAGTTTGACCAAAAGGCTTCCTTTGTTTGTCCCTTCTGATGCCCCATGAATATCTGCTCCTCAGCCCTCTCCACACCTTCCAAACCAGACTCTGCTGTGTGCTTGCTCAGGGAATAAATAAGGGGTGGGGGAGGCAGATTAGAAGGTACAAAGTCATTTTAGTCATGGAACATTCCATGTGCTTAACCAGGAGCCTAGCTCCTACCTGTGGAATTTCCCACTTAGTGGAAGAAACTGCTCTTTCCTAGGAGTTCCTTTCAGTTCTCTCTCTCTAACATTCTGATTTGCTCACTCTCACTTCCAGCTGCCATGTTCTTATTCCTTTCTATAAAAGTATTTGCAAATTATCTGAACTCTTTTCTGTAAATTTCTGAACTCTTTCTGAGAGTTAAAGTATTTGTTTTGTACACTGTTTGCTTTTAGTTATTTTAACTTAAGAGATTTTAAAAACATACCCAGATAAAATAGTTTTAATTATGGAGACTTTCCCCAAGATAGTCGGGGCTCGCGTTACTGTTGCTGCATAACAAATTACCCCAGACTGGCTTACAGCAGCCCCTTCGCTTTGTTGTAGTTTTGTGAGTCGGGACTTGGGGAGGGTTCAGCTGGGCAGTTGTGTGTCATCTCCTCTTGCATGCTCAGGTGTCTGCCGAGCTGAGGCGTAGGAAGGCCCGGTTAGGTTGGCAGTCAACATGGCTCACTTGTGTGACTGGCAGTTGGTGCTGGCTGGTGGGTGGGAACTTGACTGAGTTATGGCTGAAGGAACTTCGTGTCCTCGCCAGCACGGTAGCTTCAGGGCAGGCAGGCTCCTTGTGTGACTTCCCCCAGAGAACCAGGCAGAAGCCACAGTTCACTTCTGTGACACAGCCCACTCAGGTATCAGGGACTGGGTACACCCCACCCCCTCCATGGAAGGAGTGCTAAGGTCATATTAGAGATGTGCGAGTGGACTGGAGAGACCGTTGTGACCATTGGGGGAAACAGCTGTATAAAATGAGTTTATACATATACATCAAGGAACTTGAACTTTCTCCATTGGCTCTAAGTTGAGGGCTTTTTTTTTTTTTTTAATGGGGTAGATATTAGTACCTCTGGCTTTATTTTATACTAGAGGCCCGATGCACGAAATTTGTGCAAAAGTAGGCCTTCCTTCCCCTGGCTACTGGCACAGGCTTCCCTCGAAGCCCCAGCTTCATCCGGATGGTTGTCCAGAAGGGATGTCCGGTCTAATTAGCATATTACGCTTTTACGAAATTCATTATAGATAATGAATTTCTCTTCGGGGAACCATTTTATAAATATATAATATAGTGGGTATTATTTTAAATACATTAAAGTTGATCAGGTAGAGGAATTAAAATTTATTTTTTACAAAATGCTCCTTTCTACACTATTAATAAAAATAGAAAGACTGTGTATGACTGATTACACAGATGTGCTACTGTGAAATGAACCACCTCCTCCTGTGCGGCCACTATGGGAAATAGAACTTCCCCAAAAGAGCAGCAGGCATGCACGTTCTATAATTTTTATTGATTTTTGAGAGAGAGAAACATTGATTTGTTCCACTTATTTATGCATCATTCATTGGTTGCTTCTTATATATGCTTTGGCTGGGCACCAAACCCACAACCTTGGTGAATCAGGATAATGCTCTAACCAACTGAGCCACACACATTCTAAACAAAAAGGCACAACCACCACTAGCACAGATGGAAGTTGGCTTCATCATTGATGAGTTTCTTGGAACAAAAAGGTAAGGGCTCATCTCTGGATGATGGCTTTGGTCCTGCAGTGGCTGCTGTGACGAGGGAAGCCGGGCACCTGGAAGCAGCTATAGATGTGTGATGTTCAGCTTACTGATGTCGCTGGATTCCTTGAGTGTGAGGAACCTATGCAGCTTTTGGTAGCATCACTTCCGAACTGGGAACCCTAGCCTAGAGGAGAATTTCCCTCCAGGGATTATCAGTGGGAATGTTTGCAACTAAAGAAACCACTGTAGCCATGGTTCACTGCATGGGAGAAGCGGCACATTGATGCAGGGGAATGAGACAAGTGGGCTTGTTCCCTGATGGCTGTCCTGTGGCCTAAGAGCTGGCATTGCCTTCCTTCATGGCTGGCAAGGTGATGACATTAGGGTGGGACTCAGGATCACCTCAATACTCAGTTCAGTCCAGTCAGTCTTCCGACGCAGAGACATCGTGTCCGAAAGATTGTTTACTTGTCCCCCAAATGCAGGTGCAATGGATTAGTTTCCCCTGACAGTACATTCGTTTTTCCTGTGACTTCCTCTTTTAGCATGAGAAACGGTCCTGAAAATGGTCTGTGAGTCAGTAGTAGGTTGGTTGCATATAATAAAAGACAGAGTAGCAATGACTTAACCAAAATAGTTTATTTCTCAAGTGAAATCTGGAGGTCAATTAGGGACCCAGCTTCTTTCTGTTCACCATCCTCTTATGGTTTCCATCCTCAAGGTCACTCATGGTCCCAGGTGACTGTGAGGGCACCAGTGATCATGCACATATTCCAGACAGGAGAAAGGAGTGGGACGAGGCAAAGGGAGCACAGCTCTTTTCAGTCAGCCCCCTTTAAGAAGCTTTTTTGGGAACCTTACCCAACTCTTAATTCTTGTTAGCCAGCTGTAGAGAGAGACAGCTACAATTAGTTGTAGGAAAGGCTGGAAGTCAGGGCGGGGGGGGGGGGTGCTTGAGTGCTTTGCCACCCCAAATTTCACTGTGATCCTGATTCTACAGTCACACTCTCTAGTCTTGTTTTGAGATGGGAGAAGTTTGGGAGAGGTAAATTTGTGCACAGTGACCATGGGAAAGGAATCTTAGCAGACACCCTGATTTGGCCTGTGGACTGAGGACCCCTGGCTTTTCCATGAGGGGCTCAGAACAGGCTCTGGTTTCCATTCTTGCACAGAGCCAGGAACCCAGAGTCATTTCCAAGGGCCTAGCCTTGCCGTGTCTAGCATCTCCCAATTCTACACAGAATGTAGGCCAGTGGTTCTCAACCTGTGGGTTGAGACCCCTTTGGGGGTTGAACGACCCTTTCACAGGGGTCGCCTAAGACCATCGGAAAACACATATATAATTACATATTGTTTTTGTGATTAATCACTATGCTTTAATTATGTTCAATTTGTAACAATGAAAATACATCCTACTTATCAGATATTTACATTACGATTCATAACAGTAGCAAAATTACAGTTATGAAGTAGCAACGAAAATAATTTTATGGTTGGGGGTCACCACAACATGAGGAACTGTATTAAAGGGTCGTGGCATTAGGAAGGTTGAGAACCACTGATCTAGGCTTTTGGTGTGCTTTTAAGGTTCCCTGTGAGTAACCCTGTGAGTGGTGGTATGAGTGGAGGTCCTGGAGTTCAGCTGTCAGATTTGAATGTTGGTCCCACCTACTTTAGGCAAGTACTTGTTTCCCCATCTGTGAAATGGGAATTACCAGGTAGTTGTGATCAGTAACTTAAAATGTAATTGCATCATGCCATGCCCAGCACATAAAAGCTTGGTAAATTCCATTTGCAGACTGTTTTACAAGGGAGAAGAGAGCTTGTGGGAGCAAGTATAGGTACAGTAAAGCATATTAAATAGGGGTGCCCTTCCTCTTAGATGTCTTAAAATTAGTGCAAAGACGTATCCCTCAGGGTTCCAGGAGCTGGGACAATACTTCCAACCTCGCTATTAACCAGTCTTTCCTGTCCTGTCTTGGCCTCAGTTTGCTTGCCTGTCAGGTGAGGGGGTTGGCCCAGATCATCTGAGGAACTTGAAACAAAATCAACCCTGAGCTCCATGTCCCAGAGTCTAATTTGAGGCAATTCCAGCATGAGATTATTTTTAAGTGGCCCCAGTAATTCTAAATGGAGAGCCAGAATGGGGAACCAGCGGCCTAGCTGACCTCTGAGGTTTCCTTTAGCTTCTGCCACCTGAGTGCTGGTGTGCTCTATGTGGGCACTTGCCCACCCTGGTGAGATCCTGCTGACACGGTTTTTCAATGTGGTCCTTGCTGATGCTTGACAAGTACCCTTTGAAGTTCTACGTAAGCAGACCCCAGTCAAAATGCAAGCATGGTGAGCTCATGTAGGGGACAGAGACACTCACATGGATTTTCTGACTCTCTGGTAGCATGAAATTAACCTTTAGGTAGGTCAGTCCATCTTGAAACAGACACCACCAGTTCCCCCTTAGAAAGGAAAAGTTGGTAAAACAGAATCATTTGTCCACAGAACATCCCATATTCTGGATTCAGCAGGGAGCATCTTTATGGTATTGCTTTGTTCACCTTCTCACATTTTCTGTACTTGGTCAGATCTAAAGACTAAATTCAGGTTCTCCCCTCCCTCTCCAAGAATACTAATCGGTGGTGTGGTGTACACCCTGCTGCACACAGTGGTCACACTAGCTGGCAGTATTGTCTGATTGTCCCATTTTTACTTACATTAAATTAACATTCATTGATGATTGTCACCTAGGTCTATTCATTAGTCATTGAAAAGTTGTGACTCTGTCATTGGGGGGGGGGGGGGGTAGGAGACTCTTTTATTTTGAGTAATTTCAGCCTTTTTTAAAAGAAAAATTGCCGGAACGATAGCAAGAACTCCCACATAACGTTCATCCAGATCCTCCAATTCAGTGGTTCTCAACCTTCTGGCCCTTTAAATACAGTTCCTCATGTTGTGACCCAACCATAAAATTATTTTCGTTGCTACTTCATAACTGTAATGTTGCTACTGTTATGAATTGTAATGTAAATATCTGATATGCAGGATGGTCTTAGGCGACCCCTGTGAA